GTGCCTTGGTGGGAAGGGAACTTTCAAAATTTGAGGGCTCGAATTAAGCGGCGAGAAGGGCAAGGCAATTTTTTTAGGGCACGTGAGAAATCGCCTTGAATTTTCTCTAAAATGGAAGGGCACAGAGGCAATTTTAAAAGGCACCAAGGCTGGCAGGAGGTTATGTTTTCACCGGCGTGTGTTTGTTCGTTTGAGTGTTAATTTGTTCGTTTGTGCGTTTGTAACACCGTTCATTGTGTACAGCCTAACTAAAAAAGTTATGGACGGATTGTCATAAAATTTTGAGGATAGGTCACAAATGGGCTAACTTAGAATTGATTCGATTTTGGTGGTGATCCGGATCCAATTAATTAATAAAATTTTCAGGATAGCTCAGAAATGGGGTAACTTAGAATTGATTACATTTTGGTGGTGATCCGGATCCAATCAATTATTTAATTAATTAATAGCTGCCTTGGCGGAGGTCTGCGCTCTCCGAGTGCTCTAGTTGTTATTGTGAAGCCGAGATATTTCTGGTGTATCATGACTTCTCCATACATGTGGGAGGGGGGGGGATTATGATTTGGGTTCAAACCCCTGTTCCATGAATATAACAATAGTTGCCAATTATTCAACACTAATTCCCAGTATAATCTATATAGCATTTTATCTCCGTGTGCAGAGTGCAAAAGCGGATGCTGCCAGTATTGACAAATTCAAGACGGAGGTGAAGCTGCCCATTCTTCTCATGACCATAGGACAATACTTTGTTCTAAGCTTGGGCATCCTCATACTCGTGGTTACTGCTTCTCTTTTACTGGTTGGACTTTCCAGTAGAACGGTAATTAATATGCAGAATGGCTATCAGTACATTTATCAGAGGTCTTGAGCAATATTTTAAATTTCAAGTTGCCGATATTTTTTTGTATTAAAGATGCATACTTTAATTGACTGATAATTGGCATCAGTTATTGGTTCTGAGTGCAATAGAGCAATAGAAATGAATCATATACTGATCATGTTTAAAGTTATTAAGTTATCTTCAATATAGGCATGTATGAATGTATATATGTCTGTGTGTGCGTGCGTGCGTGTGTGTAAGGACATAATGATGGTATTTAGCCATTATATTGACAATAAAGATTAAATGGATCATATTTTTGTCTGACGAAGTGTAAAAGTTTTTGACAGCAAGTAATTAACTATAAACAACTATTATTTGTTTTCAGGTTCCCGATGAACCATTGTTACCTGATGTTGCCGGTGACCAGTGAAGTAAGTCAAATGAATGAGTCATACATGCAGTTGTTGCAGCTCCTTTGCTATCCTAATAATTCAAAGATTACTAGTAATTCTATGGATTGCTCATTTGCTTAATAACCACTTGCTATAAAACTTAAACAGGGTATTAAACTTATACATTTGACATGTTTGACAGGCAACTCTAGCCAATCACTATTGCGATGTTTTAAAAACAACGCTTAGTGTCAAAGTGCAGCCCACACTTTAGTATGAAGTGTCAGTATTTTGGCTTCCAAGTGTGAAAAACATACACAAGGCGACACATACATAAAAAGTAAGCTTGATCGACCTAGCAACAATATCCAATGTGGGTGTGACAGGTTTCTCTTAGGTGGACAGGTCAATTAGTGTTTAGCTTATGTGGACCATTCTTAATTCTTTTCAAATTCCTGAAAATAACTCATTAATGGCATCTGAGAAAAATACATTTTCTCTCTAATAATATTGTAGTGAAAAACGTTTTAAATCTGACCATAGTAAGTAAAACTAAACCTGCTAGTACTTGGCAGTGGCGTAGCTAGGATTTTTTCAGCGGGGGGGGGGAGGCACTGGGGGGGCCTTACATTTTCGTGGGGGGGGGCACAATATATAATTTTTCTTTGTATTATACTGTTCTAACGGCATTGTTTTTAATTCAATTTTTTTTATCAAGCATTAATTTTCAGTGGGGGGGGGCACCTGGGGGGGCACAGAAAATTTGTGGGGGGGCTCGTGCCACCCCAGGCCCCCCGTAGCTACGCCCCTGGTACTCGGCTCTATACTAAAGAGAAACCTGTCTATAAAGGACACGAGGTGTTTCTCATTAGTGACATAGGGCTTACTTCTACAGAACTCACACCTAGCTGTCTATAAAGGACACGAGGTGTTTCTCATTAGTGACATAGGGCTTACTTCTACAGAACTCACACCTAGCTGTCTATAAAGGACACGAGGTGTTTCTCATTAGTGGACATAGGGCTTACTTCTACAGAACTCACACCTAGCCTGTCTATAAAGGTACACGAGTGTTTCTCATTAGTGACATAGGGCTTACTTCTACGAAACTCACACCTAGCTGTCTATAAAGGACACGAGGTGTTTCTCATTAGTGACATAGGCTTACGCTTACCCTACAGAACTCACACCTAGCTGTCTATAAAGGACACGAGGTGTTTCTCATTAGTGACATAGGGCTTACTTCTACAGAACTCACACCTGTCTGTCTATAAAGGACACGAGGTGTTTCTCATTAGTGACATAGGGCTTACTTTTACAGAACTCACACCTGTCTGTCTATAAAGGACACGAGGTGTTTCTCATTAGTGACATAGGGCTTACTTCTACAGAACTCACACCTGTCTATAAAGGACACGAGGTGTTTCCTTCTGGCACTTCAGGCTAGCAGTTATACAGTAAAAACATATATTTACAGAGATGCCCTATCCGTGAAGGACATTTGGGTCACCATAATATACAGGGTTGACTAGATGTCAAATTTCAATTCGTTTTACATGCCCCAAACCACACTAGTAGGATTTATAAGGACTAGTGTTCCTTTCCCTGTTTCTCTCAAATTTTTACATGTAAACTTTCATCGTTTTGTTCTGTTTCAATATCATTTATGAATAAAATGCCAGTCTCATTCTTGACACAGAGACAGTGTTTTATATAAAATTATGTGCTCTGTTAATGAATGTGACAAATTTCAAACTAAATATTAAGTTAACCAAACACTTCATAATAAGTGATTTTTGTGAGATGCAGGAACCATTAATTTTAGTGATTGTACTTTTATAATTTTTACTATTAAAGAGGAAAATATATACAGGAAGCTGAGAGATGTTTACATGAAATGAAATCTGTTGGCCACTGGTACGTGTGATAGCTGTAGTAGATTGTATAAGACTGGTTTACATGGTTGTAAGCTTGTCATATTTTGTGATGTGAAATAATCAGGAGTACCAAACAACCATGGCTTGATGGTTCAGCAGTTTGAAGTGCTGAAATAATGGTGGGCACATATTTGATATGTATGTGGACATTTACTTGATCTACTCATTCCAGTTTTGCCAGATTATGAAAGTAAACTAACAAGATTGGTGGGCTACTGTAAAAACTTGGAAGTTTCGTGTGAATCCATAAGGAATCACTTGTTCATATAGACTGGCACCCCAACTCCAACATACAAAATTTGATAGGTCATTCACGCCTACCATTATCCCGAGTGAATTCATTAAAAAAGCAAATAGATGAGAGGAGGCGTGTAGGTTAGCTCATATAAGTAATAGCTGAACTATGCTCATGCAATACGACTGCCATCTGTTGTCCATCTGTCCATTCATCCACGAGAAGCCAGTAATAGTGGCACAATTCTAGATAGCTTGACGTATGCTGTAGATGTTTGGTAACATAAAGGGGTAATCTAAAATGACATTGGAAATTTTTTTGAATCAGGGATCAATGGTCAAGAGATGTAAAGGAAATGAAAATATTCCCCTCTTAATCCACTCTTATCTTAACTTTTCTCTCAAGGTTTTATAGTTAAATTTAGGTTTAAGAATTGTAATGGCTTGACCTCTAGCTGCTCTCGACATTCGATATACAGAGTCATGGTGAGAAAAGGCATCACCTTGACAAACATTGAGGTCACAGGTCAAAGGGCAGTGGGTCATTATTATTTGACCCCACCCCCCTCCAAAAATCGTCATGTAGCACACTCCCGACCCCACAATAAATTATAGTGACTACACTATCAATAAACTTATTCTGTAGGTATTTCTTTACCATAATCTGAAGTCAAACCAATTGTGTAGTGGGGGTGCTACGATTTCCTTATTTAGGGTCTTTTTTTCCGATTCTGCTACTGGACTAATATCCGACTAATATGTTCATGTTAGTTAATTTTCATCATGTGTGTAAGATCTGTTGTTATGGTCTAGCTGGGGACCAGTGTATATACTAATAATCTCAGCAAATGTAGTGTGAAACAATAGTAATGAACACAAGAAGCATGTAGCATGTGTACAGGTGCATTTGTCTGAAATTAATGCAACTATTGCTGAGAGGGTCTATGTCCCCCGGGGTACTGCCGGAACGTACCCTGGGTACGGTCCGGTATACCGGAACGTACCCTGGTACTATCTAATATGCCGGACCGTACCTCGTCTACTCCACTAACGAGTCTAGGGAGTCGTCTACGCCTAATCCCTAACCCTAACCCTAACCCTAACCATATCAAATAGTGACCGGG